TTCAGACATGGCAACGAGGGACTATTTGGGATTGGTGACCAAGACTTGGTGTTAACGACATTCCCATCTTCTTCCCTCCTTTCGTCTGTTCCTTATCTCTTCGTCTGTGTATGTCTGGACCTGGCGCTTTCTTCCTGTGTGTAGCGCCAGGCTCCTTCACACTTCGTGATGGGTACAAGGCATGTTTAGTCTGAGTTGAAACATTGATTGGGCTAGTTAGAGGTACTCTAGCATTCTGCTTCATTACTCTGAACTACGTGAATGAGGTCAGTTTCGTCAGGTCAGTCTTGCATCAAAGTCTTCCCTGCGCTCTGTAACATTTTTATGTATGAATGAGAATGTACATTGCTTGTCAGGATTCTACTCGTATCACATTGTCTATTCAGTCCTTTTCATCACATTGCAGATTCTTGGTTTATTACGTACATTGCATATCTGTGCGTGTAACAGTTGGTATCGGAGCTTTTGCACGTGAATCAGGACTATCTGATTTGACACGTGTGCGGGGATCAAAAAGCTAGTTAGTCTTTTTTGTTGATTAGGACATACTAGTTAGACCCCAAAATCACGATCTTGACCTTACTACAAAAAAAAATCGAATTTTTTTCTTTTCTCGGATTTTATTTTCTCGCTATTCTGCTGTGGAAAATCGCTATATCGCAACATCTGAAATTCCTATTTTCGTTTTTCTTTCTGAAAATTAGAAATTTCGTTGTTAAAAATCCGGAATATATTTCTTTTTGAAAATTTCGATTTTCTGTTGCATTTTCCCGTACTTAGAACTTTGGAATATCTTCTTTTCTGAAATTCGTTTTTTTGAAAACGGTACGGGAAATACCTCCTGCACGTATTATTTTTTTTTTTTCAAACTGCGAATATTCCCATCGGAATAAATCCGAATAGTTGTCATTTTTGTTCGGACTTTTTTTCGCAGATCTTGGATTCTGTCAGTTGGTTCTATAAATCGGTTGCAGTCTAAAGTCGAAATTTTTTCGCTTTCAGAGATCATTTCGTACTTCAAGGGAGATTGGGAGACCTATCGAACTAGCAAAAATTGGGATTTTTTTTTTTTTTTAGTTTCTCGAAAAAAAAATTTGCAAAGTTCAAACTTTTCTGGTTTGATTAGTGGCTCCTTATCTAAGTGTGAGTTGGGAGATTATCCCAACCACCCCTCCCCACCTACGTTGTTGCCATCTCTCGCCTTGTCGTTTCTGGTTGTCTCCGGGTACCCCTTGTGACGACATTGGTAAGTTGCCACGTCAGCAGACCACATCAGCAAGACACGTCAGCAGGCTCCGTAAGTACGTCAGCAGACCACGTCAGCAGGACATGTCAGCAGGACACGTCAGCATTGCCACGTCAGCAGCAAGGGATACCACATCAGCAGGCACCGGTCTGGTCTATGCTGTTGCGTTCACAGACAGCAGTCATGGACCAGAAGACCGGGGAAACAGACGAGGCCTATCAGACCCGCATGTTAGCTTGGAGTACCGAGACAAAGAAGCGGGCAGATGACGCTGCCGCGGCAGCCAAGAAAAGGGCAGAGGATGCCGAACAGGCACGTCTGCTGGCCATGCAACAACAGCGCCAGCACGACGAGGCAGCAGCAAGGGCTGCCGATGAAGAAAGAACACAGCGTCGTGAGAAGATATTCACCGGAGAGCGGGCGTTACTTACTATGGCAGCAGAATGGCGAAGCGAGGCCGAGGAACAGCCAGTTGGAGGACAACGCAAACAAGATAGCGCTCCTCCTTTCGCATCTCACGGATCTCCTGGCAACCTGCATTACACAGCAGGCGGAGATCCTTGGTCTCGACAACTCGGTAGCTCAGCTCCAAGACCGCCTTCAGCGGGTGGAGCAACGACCAGTCGCCACCGCCAACGCAGGCTCTTCCAACACTGCCGAACGCCTCACCGCATTGGAGATGCACGTCGGCTCCCTCCAGGACGACGCACAGTTACAGCAGACCGCGACGCAACAATTGCAGCAGCGGATCTGCACTACMGCCACCACCTCGAGTCCGGAGCCGCGCGAGACATCTCCTAAGTTCGATGGGCAGGAGATCTTCCACGACTCAATCAAGACAGATCCGATTCCATGGTTTCGCAAGTTTGAGCTCACGCTGCAGCTCCACAACGTCAAGGAAAACAAGCACCACGCTTACTTGTACTCTCGCTCAGGGGGCGCGTGTCAGGCGTGGTTGAACAATTTGTTGTCCAAGTACGGAGTGGTAGCAGCAGACTTGCACACCATGATCAGTTGGGATGATCTGAAGGCGGCGTGGCACAAGCGGTTCCAGGTGGAGCCGCCAGAGATCAAAGCCATGGACAAGCTTATGGTCTTCGAGCAAGGCTTGCTGCCGAGTACGGATTGGATCGCCGAGTACCAACGCTTGACGTCCGTCCCAGACATCCAGATGGGCTTCAAGGCCATCCGCCACTACTTCATCTCAAGGTCATGTCCGGCATTGAGCAATGCCCTGACGCATGTCGAGGACACCTTGACGATGACGGCGGAACTATTCGACAAATCGACTCAGATCATCGTTACGAACAAGGAGGCCAAGAACCTCCGTTCTTCTGCGTCAGGCCCGAGCGGGAACCAGCATCGGCCACGAGTGGCCGTGGTCGCAGTGGCAACGCCTTTAGACCAAACCAGCGAGGTTGTGTCTGCAGTGAAGGAGACAGATTCGCAGCCGCCCGGGAAGGTGGCCGCGCCGGCAGAGGTCGAGGGCGTGGCAAGCCGAAGACACACACCGTTTCTAGCCCCGGGCCCGGTGCAGCAGCTCAGACAGGCCCATGGACCCCGTATGGCCTCTCCGAGTCCGCCTACAAGGCGCGCGAGAGATTCCATTATTGCCTATGGTGCAACAGCGATCTTCATCTGATGCCGGTTTGCCCACTGAAGGGCAAGGGTCGACAGGGAAACTGAGCACCGCCGAGAGTGATGCGACGACACTCTCGACGCCTTCGGAACTGGTTTCTTCGCGAGTGACCAGCCTTCATTCTGAGGCGCACGCGGAAGTCGACAGTCCTCCGCTTCTATTTTCTTTTGAGGACTATGCTGCCCGGCTCGTTCCAACCTGGGTACTCAGGCTCAAGGATAAGGAGTGTGTGCGGTTTCTTCTCCGTCCGGCAACAGCGACATATCGTCTTCAAGTGGTTCGTCACGGGATTCGGCGCGCGAGTTCAAGAGAGAGGTTTTGGACCCGCTCACGTCTGAGGACTTTGCATGGCTTCCTCTCCCGACCACAGGATGTTTGCCGGGACCGCAATGCGCAGCACTTAGCGCTCATCTCCACACTTACCTTTCCTTCTATGCACCACCAACTTCGCCGACGGATGACGAAGTCGCGGTGGGGGACATCCTGGCGTATGTTACCAAGGTGGCCCGCGAGTTTCCCACACAGCGGTACGATAACAACAATGCACCGCTCATGTATGTCCGCATCCAGGTTGGGCAAGCGTCCTGCAGCGCTTTGCTGGATAGCGGCGCGACTCGCAACTTCATGAGCCAGTCTTTTATGCAAAGAGTTGGCCTTGGCGCTCAGGTTCGGAGGAAGGCAAACCCGACGGCAATCAAGTTGGCGGATGGAAAGACGCAACAACTTCTCGACCGTTACATCGAGGCCGTACCGGTCTACTTCGCACCTCATGCATGCGAACCGGTAACATTCCATATTCTCGATACGGACTGCGACATCATTCTGGGAATGCCTTGGCTTGCAAGTGCGGATCACACAGTCAACTTCCATCGGCGGACTCTTAGCGTTCACGACGCCTTCGGCGCGAAAGTGGCGTGTACTATTCCTCTCCCGCACCCTTCGATCCGGTGCCAAGTGGTGACGGCCAAATCATTCCGGGCGACTTGCGCTTACGAGCAGCCCGAGGAGATCGGCCTATGTTTCCTACGGAACGTCGCGGTAGCCGACTCTTCACCCACGGACTTGTCTTTGGACCCCCGTGTGGTACAGTTGTTGGACGAGTTCGCCGACATCTTCGGGTCACCTACCGGTGTGGTGCCGGGTCGGCCGATCTCTCACGAGATCATTCTTGAGGCCGGTGTCGTGCCGCCGAAAGGTTGCATCTATGGATGAGCGAGGAGGAGCTTGAGGTCCTCCGCGCACAACTCGATGATTTGTTGGCCAAGGGCTGGATCCGCCCGAGTAGCTCCCCATATGGAGCCCCAGTTCTCTTCGTCAGGAAGAAGAACAAGGATCTACGATTGTGTATCAACTACCGCAAGCTCAACGCGCAAACCGTCAAGAATGCGGGGCCTCTTCCTCGCATCGACGATCTTCTCAAGCAACTGGGCGACGCAAAGTATTTTTCCAAGTTGGATTTGAAATCGGGATATCATCAAATCTCGATCCAGCCGAACGATCGCTATAAGACCGCGTTCAAGACGAGGTACGCGCATTTTGAGTGGGTGGTCATGCCTTTTGGCCTCACCAACGCCCTGGCGACCTTTCAGGCGGCGATGACCAATGAGTTCCGTGCAATGTCGGACCGGTTCGTGCTGGTCTACTTAGACGATATTCTCGTCTATACCCGGTCATTGGAGGATCATCTGGGGCATCTTCGACAAGTGTTGGAGACGCTCCGCGGCGCCAAGTACAAGGCCAACCGTGACAAGTGTGAATTTGTCTGGCAAGAGCTGGAATACTTGGGCCATTTTGTCACACCGGAGGGCATCAGTCCGCTATCGGGCAAGAAAAAGGTCGTCCAAGAGTGGCTGGAGCCTCGGAACGTCACGGATGTCCGCTCGTTCCTCGGTCTTACCGGCTACTAATGGCCCGTGTGTGCACGCGCTGCATGTAACACCCCCCCCTCCTTATGAAGTCAAGCCGGGGCGAGGGCGAAGCCGTCGATCTGAAGGTGGAACCAAGACGCGGGCGCGGCGTGGAGCCGAAAAAAACGGCTTGCCCTGCATCTTGCGTTCGTAGCGTGCGAGAACGTCTGGAGCTGTCGCTTGCAGTTCCGCACGGGTTAACCAACGGTCAGCTCGATGTGTGCAGTAGGCAAAATGCACCAAATACTCAGTTGGCTTGTTGCCAAAGCATCGCTGGGAGATGATGTCGCCGACCTCCTGAAAACCATCCATAGAAGGTGGGTCTTGCGTCCGTCTCCCGGGAAAGTCGTCATGATCCGCTGGCGTGTAGAGAGCCAGTTTGGAGCAATGAAAGACTGGGTAGACAGGCAAGTGGCTAGGCACCTGAATCGTGAAGGAGGGTCCTTCGGGTGCGTCCCCAGCGGGCTCTATGATCGGCCAAGGCCCCATCCATTTCCGGAGGAGCTTGCGAGCGACGTCTTGTTCAAGGCTGAATTCTGCTGCTGAAACCCAGACGAGGTCTCCGGCGCGGAATGGACCAGGAAGACGCTGGCGATTTGCCTGTTGGCGCATGCGCTGTTGCGTCTTAGCCATCAGGTCGCGAGCCTTGACAAGAAGCTCTTGCATCCGACGCAAGAAAAGAAGATGGTCGTCGCTCTCGGTCGTGCGTGGAGTAATCGTGTCCAACGGTGACGTGACCRGCRAGCCGTGCTCRAACTCGAAGGGCGATATCCCAATAGCCGGGTGGATGGAAGAGTTGTAGGCCAACTC